AATGTGAATCTGGATCCAGCCCATGATGTTGCTGTAGAAATCTCCTTATTGCCAATAACTTATAGCATGTGATACCAAAAAGCAAAGGATCAACGGAAACTAGCACGTGACTGAAAAGTGACATTTCTAGGGTGATTTATTTGTTTAAAGAAGGAAGTAATTATGACATATGATAAATTGGTTAAGTCATTCCATGAGCGTATATAAACACCTGAACTTTTATCAGGGTGGGTCAGAGTGATATCACCAAAGAATGGCAAATACAACCTTCTTATCAAAGTTCCAAAGTGGATTACACACACAGGCATCACTGAGATGTGGTTGGCTGCTGTGTAAACCAGCCACCTTTGGGGTCAATGCCCATACTTTCTATCACATGTGTTAAACTGTTAAACTGATTGTTGGAAACAGTGATGGACTGAATGAGGGTTTTAATAAATTGAAGCTTAATCCAGATGTAATGGGTGTGCGCTGGGGGATGACTAAGACTGACCCCAATATTATGAGAGATTACACTGCTCCTAAAAGACCAGGTGTGGAGCTGGACTCAGCGCTGTTATCACAAGTTGCCCAGGACACCTTTTACTAACTAAGGCTAGTTCACTAGCTGTGACTTTCCCGGTAGAAAGCTGACCCGGCCACAGGGACACACATCCTTATAACAGCCACTCTTGACAACTGTAACATGCTGAACATGGGGCTTGCCCTTGAAGATGGTTCAGAAACTTGAATGGGTTCCAAATGTGTCAGCTAGGTAAAATCTTTAAAAGTATCCTGTAGCAAGTTAATGTTAACCCAGTGACATACCATCTACATTAGCTTCTAAATTGCTTCTTGACTCAATACAAAACTGTCGGTTATGACCTTCGAAGGCCTAAATGGCTAAGCTCTCAGGGGAAAGCACAAACCAGACCTTGCCAGCTCAGATATAATAACAAACTATGGTATGCTGCAAACCCAGAAATAACAGATTTTCTTGCTACATGCAAATGCAAAAATTATGGTTTGCCTCACTACCAGAAGAAGAAATTGGATTTATACCCTGCCCTTCACTCAAGAGTCTGAGAGCGGCTTATAATCTCCTTTCCCTTCCTCTCCCCACAACAGGCAGCCTGTGAGGTAGGTGGGGCTGAGAGAGCTCTCAGAGAACAGCTCTCAGAGAACTTTGACGGACCCAAGGTCACGCCACCAGCTTCATGTGGAGGAGTGGGGAATCAAACCCAGGCCCCGGTCACATGGGCAGGAAACTGCAGAGGAGAAGCGTGGCTGTTTGCCCTGGGGCAAACTATTGCGCAGTTACGCGATCAGACCTCCTGTGGAGGTCCTGTGGAGGTACCGTGGAGGTTCCATGGCAAGGGAGAGGTGCCGATCACAGGACAAGCCGGCGCGCAACGAAGAAGCGCGCGCCGCGGCAAACTGTTTTTTATTTTTGTGTACATGACAAATGCGCATGCTCCGTTGGGTGCACATGCGCATCCACAGAGACGTGGACAAAAAACACACACCTTATTTGCAAGGGGACATGGGCGGGCGCCGGATGCCACCGGAAACGCGATCAGACGCCCGCCCTTGCCCCGCAGGTACTAGTTTTTTGCCACGCAGTTTTGGCTGGAAGCCTCGGTTGAGCCACGGGAGTGCTACGCTTCCCAGATGTGCTGGTGAGATCGCGCCCGGAAACTCCAGCTGTTTTCCGTCTCACTTGTGTGGCTTCTGTTACGTGTGACCGCAGCCCCAGTTCTTCAGATTAGAGTCCAGTTGCTCTTAACCACTGCACCAAACTGGCTCTCTACCAGAGCCATGTGCTTACCCTCTCCATACAATGCCATTAAGTAACTCTACCAGATGCTAAGGCTCTTTTGTTTTGATTTTGGGGAATCATGAAAATGGATGGCAGATATTCGGTCCTGCCATTCCCAATTCTTTATTCATTGCAAAGATGGATTCTAAACACCAAACTAAGCCCGAATTATACAAATTGTGCCTTAGTGCTGCCAACAGAAAACTGGCCTGTCCAAGGAAGAACTGGCAGTTTTGCCAGGAGTGCTCCACTCTTTGCAAGCTTTTATGTTTACATGTATCTGCTCCCACCACAGCCCATAGCTGGTGCATTCTGGGCACTTACAGGCCTCCTAGTTATAGGACAACAGCAAAGCCAGCCAGTGTGTTCCTTGAATTATGTGCACTAATTCAGGTCTGATTTGCAATTCGCAATTAAAATAAGCAAATCAGAAGGTTGGATAACATTCTTAAAGATGAATTTACTAACAGAGTGATGGACCCTTCTTCTCTCGCAGTAGAGGTTTGCCTCTCTGGAAAGTGTTTTAGCAAGTGACTGGATTCTGCAATGTACTGATCTATTTTAACTTGGAACTTAACCCTGTTTTTATTTCCAAGGACCTGAATGCTAGCGAATAAAGCCCCATTGTAAGCTGCCAAGCTGAATTCACTGGGAAAAGCCTATTCCCCAAACTTGTTATGCCAAGCAGTTCAAAACGATTCAAGTAGTGAAACTGTGTTTTCCAAGAAACACAGTCAGACAAAGTTGGTGAAGTCCCCCTGGGATTTCTAAATAGACCACTCAAGCTGACCTTGTCATCAGAAATGACCCCTCTGCCTTAGTGAGTCTATATTTCTCAAAAACAAAGAATGGTTTAACTCCTGATGCTCAGAATAACCAGCTGGCTTTCTATAGATTTTCTGACACTGGCTGAGGTTACTGGGAAACAGCATCACTTCCCACTCAGTTTTAGTGGCAAAGAACATGGTCTCCCTGTGAAGTGTCTCCCCTCAACTATACCCAGCTCGGAAGGGGGCACAGGTCTTTCTGCTCTGACCTTGAGGACTAAACACATGATTCTTGCATGTATATGAAGCGAGTCTTGGGAGAGGAGGAAAGGGAAAAAAACAACACCGTGGGAATTCTAGCACACGTAAGCAAATTCCTGGCCCCATACCTGGCAAGAACTGGCCACCTTTTCCTCTTCATACTTTTTTCATCTTGTGTACATTAACTCTAGGCACTGAGTTACCCAGAGGTAAGCATGAAGTATACAATGTCCTGGGGTGACGTTACAGAACAAACCTACAGTCTTTTGTCTCACCGAAGCGCAGGCTTATCTCTGGACTGACTTAGTTATTATTCAAATAAAGAACTGGGGTTAGGAAAGATAAAATGGGAAGTGGAGGGGGCTTGACAGAAGGTGGAATAGTGGAAACCCCCCCCCCCAAAAAAAACACAATACTTGGCCCATTTCTTTAATGCTCCAATTATACATAGATAAGCATATGGAGCAGAGGTCCATCAGTGGCTATTAGCCACAAGGTATAGATAGGGACTCTGGGGCAAGTGATGCTCTGTCTTCTTGGTGCTTGGGGGGGTCAACAGTGGGAGGGCTTCTAATGTCCTGGCCCCACTGGTGGACCTCCTGATGGCACTGGTATTTCTGGCCACTGTGTGACACAGAGTGTTGGACTGGATGGGCCTTTGGCCTGATCCAACATTGGCGTCTCTTATGTTCTTATGTACATGTTGATTACTGCCAGCCCCAATGTTTGTATGAGATGGAGATGTAAGCTGGGAAGAACAGAGTTAGGACACAAGTATATTTCATGTTCTGGTACAAAAGCAGCTGAAGGGGCAGCAGAAAGAGACAAAGACCTTGACAGGCGTGTTACGTTCCCCATATTTGTATTTGGTCATTCAGAAGACAACAGTGAAATAAAAGGCACTGGTTTAGTATGAAGATTGCATAATACACTTTCATAAACCTACTGAACGAGTGGGGGGAGGTGTGGATTAAAAGCATCTACTGACATTCTGACTAAGCTCTTAGTATTGTATCTGTCTCTGACACCAAGGGAGGAGGGGTGGCTGGAAAACCCGAAAAGGCTAACGGGGGCTGGGGGCACACGTGCGGCCACTGCATCGACTCCTATGCAGACCCTCCCCCGGTTCTTAAGATCTGCTGATGCCCAGCTCAGAATATCATCACAGGTGTTTGCAAGACTGGCACTCATTAGAAGCTCAGAGGCAAAGAGGCATTACATCTGCCCAGTTTTTCCTGCCAGGATGGTGGGGCAGGTCAGCCACTGGTTTGTATCTTTGGCCCGAGGGATTCAAGCACAGGGAGCTGGGGAGGCAGGCGGGAGGGTTCATCTGCCACAGCAGACAAGACCACTCCCTGCCACAGAGTTCTTGGTGAAGAAGAGGTTTCATTCTAGGCAAGAGCCAGCAACTCCAAGCGCAGCAGCAACTCTCTGGTTAATGGCTTGGTGGTTTGGAAAAGTTAAGGTGTCTCCAGATCAGCACCCTGTTCCATTTCATTCAGGCAAGTTTTGCCTCTCCCTGTCACAGAACAAAACCCCATAGGTTTTTGCGCAGAGACGGTTCTTCCTTCCCAAACTGCAGGGTTTTTTGAAAAGATTCCCCCCCCCCCTTAATGAATGCTGGCCTTAAAACTAACAGGGAGGGGAAGGAAGGCACCTTGAGACAGGATTGTACTGGAGGCAGATGGAGCTTTTGTTAAAAGACGCTATGAAATTGAATTAAGAAGGCACTTAGATGAATTGGCAGATGGATAAATTGGAGCCCATGGGGTGGAGACGCTGCTAACAAGGTAAACGGCAGCACAAGCGCTCCAGAAGAGGAACAACTTGATACTCCTGTCAAAACCGGCCACACAAGCGTGTATATCCCTGAGAGTCTTCAAGAGTCACTGATCCCTTAGAAGTAGGACACAAACCATAAGGGCTGTTTGTGATGTGATCGAAACCAAGGGGCAAGGCTGCCCAGAACCAGTACAGGTCCTGGAACAGAGATTCCTTCGGGGCCCAACCCAAGCACTGTATGAAGAACAAATGATATGAGTTGCTAGACTACCCGGACCCCAGGGCGATGGGCCCCTGGAACATAAGAAGAGCCCTGCTGGACCAGAGCAGTGGTCCACCTAGTCCAGCATCTTGACTCGCACAGTGGCCAACCACGAGTGCCAACAACAGGGCACAGGTGCTGAGGTCTTTCCCTCATGCAACCTCCTGATGCTGCCCATCCCCTGATACTGCCTCCTGGTGTTCAGAGGTTTACTGCTTCTGAATGGGGAGGTTCCCTGGAATCTTGACCTTGCCCCCCCACCCTCCAGCAACCTTGGCACGGAGTCTCGGCCCCAATGTAAAATAGGCAGAGTAAGACACAGGACGCTGTTCTTGTATGCAACAGTGGCCATTTATGTGGCAGGCCACATCTTGACAATGTGAGCCAAAAAGGGTGACACGTTTGAAGTAATGGCAATAGGTAGATCACCTGTTGATCAGTAACAGTCAACTGCTTGATGACTACCAGGTGGCATTCCTATTAGCATTCTACCTCCATTTGCAAACTTGCGCCATATATAAACAAGTTAGAGAGACTTATTTACACTTATGCACATCACTGATGTCAAAGGAACATAGTTGGCGTATCTTTGCTCATGTACAAAGAGGCTCCCCCTATCTCTAGGGAAGCAAGGTATAAACGAAGATAACGTCCCCTCTAGGATGTAAAAACAAGGGTAGTGCTTTCTTTTTCTTAAAAAAATGCAGATGAAAGTATGGTTCAAAGAGTCTGATTAAACGATATACAAACCCATCTATGATCAGGGTCATCCCCCCCCCCCACACACCCCAGCAGCTCTGGGAAGGAGGGGATTCAAATGGGGGGGGGGGAAATCACCAAATCCAATAGATGGGCAAACACTCCTGCTCATATCTTCCGGCCCAATCCAATCTTCTTTCCTGAGGCTGCAAAAGGAACAACACCAGGAATTCTGACCACTGGTCTTGTACAGTGTAGCATGCTCTAGCCTCGCATCCAATTCGAACTGCTGTAGGTGTTATGGCTTCAATCGCAGCGGTAACAGCTCTTGGCATACAGGCAAGAATCCAAAACGGAAAGTAATTTCTCAAAAGCAAATGATCCTTTCTTCATTTTCAAAGGCTTTTGCCTCCTCTTGGCTTACCAGGTTTCCATTTAAGCTGTTGGAAGTGGAAAGAGAGAAGGGGGGGGGGGAATTAAAAAGAAGCAGCTGTTTCTACAGGGTTTGTTTTGTGTGTGTGTCTGTATGTTTAAGAGCATTTCCCATTTTCTATTTGTTCTGGGAAGGAAAGTACAAGGTATTGCTTGGTTCTGTGGGGCAAGGCGCTGGCAGAATGTGAAAACAATATTTGACGAAATCCAAGGGCCTTCCCTGAAATAAAACGGCCGTATAAAATCTTGACAGTTCTAAGAAGGTGGAAAATGACTTGAATTATTTAGTTAAGAAGATGCAGGCCTCTCGTTCTCTGAAGAAAGGTGTACCTGTTCGACTGAGAGCAGCACACACTGTTCTCTTATACTGCTTGTAGCCAGGCCGGCACTCCTCTCAGATTCTTTTTTTTTGGGGGGGATAGGACTGTCCAGCCATCTGGGCAATCTGCAATAGGCCTACTAGAGGCCTATTTCCCTCCCTCTCATAAAAAGCCTCAATTGCCCATTTCCACACATTAAACCTTTTTTAAAGGGATGACATTTCTTCTCCAGGCCTGTTGGCAACCCTAAGCTGTAATGACATCACAGGTGGGGGCATCTAGCCCCCCCTAAGCAAGGTCATCAGTGAGAAGAAGAAGAGATTGGATTTATACCCCACCCTTCACCCCACCCTTCACTACCCAAAGGAGTCTTCCCCTTCCCCTCCCCACAACACACACCCTGTGAGGTAGGTGGGGCTGAGAGAACTCTGACAGAAACTGCTCTTTTTTCAAGAACAGCTCTTATCAGAACTACAGCTTGCCCAAGGTCATCCAGCCAGGTGCAAGTGGAGGAGTGGGGAATCAAACCCGGTTCTCCCAGATTAGAGTCCGCCACGATTATGTGTGGGTCCTTCCTGATTTAGCAACCCAATTCAAGACACATCAATTCAGAAGGTAGCTGCGGTGTGGACAAAGGGTAGACATGGTTGTACACAGCCCAAGCAGCATAAATCAGGGATGCCTACCCTTTTCTTTAAAGAAAACTACTTCTAAGCAATGAAAAATATCCTCAGCTCCCCCACCCCACATGTTGCCAAACTTTGTTTTGTCCTAGAAAAAGAACATGGACGAGGAAGACCATCAGAAACTAAGCTACCAGCCAAAGACCACGAAGAAAAATTCTTTAAAAATAAAAGGATTTAAAAAATAATAATAGCACAGACCTTTTTCTTGACCTTTTCCTGGGTCTTTTAGGCAGTGCACAAGCTACTCTGCAGTGGCTAGCCAGAAGCTCACACGCTGTGCTTTTAAGCCTACCCTACATCTACTTTTTAAAAAGGAGAAGCCAGTATTGATAACAAGGGAGCAACTGGTGACAGAGTGAAGTTTCGTAACACTACAGCTGCAACAGTATAAGCCACCTCCGGCCACCCTTTTCCTCATAAAGCCAAAAAGCTGCCACAGCCAGCAAAGTCATTCATCCCACCTGTTTGGTGTAGTGGTTAAGTGCGCGGACTCTAATCTGGGAGAACCGGGTTTGATTCCCCACTCCTCCACTTGCACCTACTGGATGACCTTGGGCAAGTCATAGCTCTGATAAGAGCTGTTCTTGAAAAAAGAGCAGTTTCTGTCAAGAGCTCTCTCAGCCCCACCTACCTCACAGGGTGTCTGTTGTGGGGAGGGGAGGGGAGGGGAAAGGAGTTTGTAAGCCGCTCTGAGACTCCCTTGGGTAGTGAAGGGCGGGGTATAAATCCAATCTCCTCCTCCTCCTCCTCCTCCTGTTGTGCCTGCCTTCTGAACTCCTGGCTGAGTTTGGCCCTGGGGACGGACGGATGGACCGGGGGGTTAGAGCTAGAGGAACAAGGTAAAAGAACAGTGTGAAGCTACGAGACCTTGCCCATCATATCCGTCAGAGATCTCTTCCCCCTATCGACTCCTTCGGTGCACACCCAAGTGACACATGTACATTTCCAAGCATGTAGATCATACAAGGACATTCCATCAACTGTACGATTCAACGGAAACCTGTGCTACGAAAGGTAAAATGGCCCTGAGAATACCAGTGTGCCATTATTTAACTTAACTTTCACGGGGATCAGTGCTTTGCTGGATGAGACTCCAGTGCACAGATCAAGTGTGCGAAGGGGCTTGAGGGGCCTCTGGACGAGCGCAAGAAGTGTCACCCCTGAGACGGGGCTGTCCTTACCAGACTTCTTTAATGGTCGTATTGTCCTGCAGAGCATCAGTCAGGCACTTGGCTCCTTTGGCAGTAATCTGATTCTGGATAAGCCTTTAAAAAAAAAAGGAAAGAAAGAAAGCCCTTTGCATTGGACAGACTCATCTGTTTGCTCCTGGTTCGCGGCATCCTGTCTGTCACACACTTGGCTGGAGCCCGGTGCGGCTGAGGCAGAAAATCAACGCTCCTTTCGGGGAACAGGACTGGTGGCGTGCCAGGAAGCGGCGGTTTCTGATTTCCATCTGCATGGCTGGCCTGTTTGGAATCAGACAATCCCCCCATAGAAGCCCGGCCAAGAGGCTCCAGGCCTCTTCAGTCTAAAGTGCCTGGGCGTCTTTCAGGGTTACTGAGAGCAATTGTTCCCTTGACCACACAGCTGCTCTCTGATCACAGTAGAGCAGCTGTCTGGGGGATTATTCAGGCTGGATCCCAGCTACTGCTGGAGGAGGCAATTCACTGGCTCCCTTAGACTGGCATGGCACCATTCAGAAGGAGACGTGAAGGGCCCAGTCAGAGAGCCAACCAATGCAAATGAAGCCCGTCATTTCGGAGGGTAAGCTGTCTTCCCTGCTCAACTTAACACATGATCTTTCCCTCTCCCCCTGAAAGAGAGTGCTCACACAGAGGGCTGTTTTACTGCACACGGTACCTTCCATTTATCATGTTTTCTGGCGTGCACGGCCTGTTTCTTCCTAAGCCTCTTTCAAGCCTGAAAGCTGTGCTGTTTGTATTCTCTGAGTCTTTACAGATGCCCGAACTATTTCTGGCTGAGTTTTCTCACCCAGGTACAGCTTGGAATCTGGATGTTTTCCCCAAAACCACCTTCTTATCTGATGCAGGCGACACGGGAGCGGTGGCTCCTTCCTGTGTCTGCTGGGTAACGACAAGTCCTGAGGTTTATGGGAACGACCAATGGTGCTCCAGCCATCACAGGGTGAACCTGGCATGGCTTTAGGGCCAAGCGACACATGGTGTTGTGTGATGAGCTGCAGGGCGCAGCCCTTTGTATGCAGAGGCCCAATTTGGTTTGGACTGCAACGTTGGGGGGAGGAGGGACTCTTGCCTTCGCCCTGCACCCTTTTCCTGAGTTGAAACAGCCGGGGAGGGGGGGGCGCGTTATTTGCCCCACTGTGGAACTGCACGTGCATGTTTGGAGTTCCAAAATAAGACAAGTGACTCCCCTCCAGGAGTTTTTGGCTCAGGAAAATGGCACGGGGGCGGCCAGAAGTCAGGGTCCCCTCTGCCCCACCACGCCACAGTCATGAGCTGAATTGGGCCCCTGTGGACCTTTAAGTCGGGGAGCCAAAATCTCCTGGATATTCCAGGCCCCAAGACCATCAAACTTGCTGTGACCAGGGCCAGGGCATTTTCAGTGGCGGCTCCTACCTGGTGGAATGAGCTCCCAGAGGAGATCCGGGCCCTGCGGGACGTTGTGCAGTTCCGCAGGGCCTGCAAAACGGAGCTCTTCTGCCAGGCTTTCGAGTAAGAGCCTCCACCATCATTATTCCACCAACGCTTCTTCCATCACCGCACTCTACCATCGCTGGTGCGGGTAGTATTGGGGGGTGCGAGATGTCCCTAGTGGATGACAGGGTTGTGGGGACATATATTGTTGTTTTGTCAAAACATCTTTAGAACACCATCCTGGTTTTATGTTTTGGAGTGAGTATTGGAGCACCGATATTTTTATTGTTAGTAATTTTAATTATTGTAAAGGTAAAGGTAAAGGTTCCCTTGCTCGAAAGCCAGTCGAATCCGACTCTAGGGTTGCGGTGCTCATCTCCGTTTCAAAGCCGAAGAGCCAGCGCTGTCCGAAGACGTTTCCGTGGTCATGTGGCCGGCATGACTAAACACCAAGGCGCACGGAACGCTGTTACCTTCCCACCGAAGTGGTACCTATTTATCTACTTGCAATTTCTTGCTTTCGAACTGCTACAATACTATGTTGTATTATGTATTTTATACTGTTTTATTGTTACAATTTGGCATTTATGCCCTGTTAGCCGCCCTGAGCCTTCGGGGAGGGTGGGATTCAAATCTAAAGAATAAATAAATAAATAAATAAAATAAAGATGCGGTTCCCTGTAGCTGCTGTATGACTGTGGGGAAAGCAAGTCCCGTCCAGGTTCCTTGCAAAACATAATTTTGACGCAGGCTCCCCCCACCCCACTTCAGGCTTCTTGTGCTATCTTAGCATAAGTGGAGTTGGCAGTCTTAGGGAGGAGGAGGAGGAGGAGAAAGAATTAGATTTATACCCCACCCTTCACATGGAGTCTCAGAGCGACTTACAATCTCCTTCCCCTCCCCACAACAGACACCCTGTGAGGTAGGTGGGGCTGAGAAAGCTCTGAGAGAATCGCCCTTGAGAGATCAGCTCTGAGAGAACTGGGGCTGACCCCAAGGTCACCCGTGCAGGAGTGGGGAATCAAACCTGGTTCTCCAGACGAGAGTCCACCACTCTTAACCGCTACACCAAACAGACTCTCCGCCTGGTATACTTTAGTCATCTGCCTGGGCTCAGAAAGTACGGACAGGTCAGAAACAGGCTGTGGACTTTTTAAAACTTAGAAAATGGAGAATATTCTTTACTGAGAGGGAAACTGGTATGTCAAAGGGGAGAAAATGCTAAACTTTATATTCCTATCTCAACCACTGTGAAGCTCAAGTAAAACAGTCAAATGCAACAACGCCACAACCTAAAATTTAACCAGCTCCTCTATGCAAACAAGCAAAGGCTCCCACTGGTATAGTCAGTGATGGGCAAAGAAGAAGAGATTGGATTTATACCCCGCCCTTCACTACCCAAAGGAGTCTCAGAGTGGCTTACAAACTCCTTTCTCTTCCCCTCCCCACAACAGACACCCTGTGAGAGAGCTCTGGACAGAAACTGCTCTTTTTCAAGAACAGCTCTTATCAGAACTACGGCTTGCCCAAGGTCATCCAGCCAGGTGCAAGTGGAGGAGTGGGGAATCAAACCCGGTTCTCCCAGATTAGAGTCCGCGTACTTAACCCCTACACCAAACTGGCAAAGGACGGCGGCTAGCTCTGCTCGGTTTGCACAGGTTCTCCCAATGCACAGCCTCAGCCACAAGTCTGGGAGACTTTCTTTGAGCTTGCTTGAGTTGTTCCTGGTGTTTTTCCACCTGAGGCTCTCATAATATGCCACTCCCTTCTGTATGACTGGATGCAAAGGGCTGGAAGATGAGCCACAGAGGGACACTTCAAAGGTATGTATTAGCTCCCACGTGGATAACGTATCTTTTCAAATACCACAGGGGATAATTTTGTTTAAAAACACCCTTATCTGGGAAGAAACCCCCACTACACTCCCATGTCCCCGAAGTGCTAGCTCAGGAAAGGGGAAAAAGTCAAGGTTAAGCCTTTTCTTGATGCTGTGCTCTGGTGTTTTTTTTACCGAGGGGAGCCTTTCATGATTGGATTGTTTTCAGACCAGGACTTCCCTCTGTGAAACGTGTGTAGTCAACATTACGAGGACTCTTAATGCCTTGTATTGCCCCCGACTTTTAAAACATATGACCACAGTGGGTGAGCCGATCGATACCAGACAGCAGCCTTCACGTTATGTCTGATGGTGAATTAAAGCACCGCCTGTGAACAGATCCTGTCCTCTGGTGCATTTGCATCCTGCCCTTCCTCCGAGGATCTCCCTTCCCCATTTTATCCTCATGACAACCCTGTGAGAGGTTAAAAGGTAAAGGTAAAGGTTTCCCTTGCTCGAAAGCCAGTCGAGTCCGACTCTAGGGTTGCAGTGCTCATCTCCGTTTCAAAGCCGAAGAGCCAGCGCTGTCCGAAGACGTTTCCGTGGTCATGTGGCCGGCATGACTAAACACCAAGGCGCACGGAATGCTGTTAACCTTCCCACTGAAGTGGTACCTATTTATCTACTTGCAATTTCTTGCTTTCGAACTGCTAGGTTGGCAGGAGCTGGAACTAGAGATGAGAGCTCACTCCATCATGCGGCACCCGGGTCTCGAACTGCTGAACTACCGACCTTCCACAGCCTGCAGTTCAGCATCTTAACCACTTGAGCCACCGCAGCTCCTTGTGAGAGGTTAGCTAGGCTGAAAGAGAGTGACTGACACAAGGTCATACGGTGACCTTCCGTGGCAGAGCTGGGATTTGATCCTGGTTCTCCTGGATCCTAGACCAATGCTCTAACCGTTACCCCACACTCACTCTTCACTGACCTATTTATTTTATATATCTATCTGATTTATACCCTACCCTCCCCACTTTACAGCAGGCTCAGGGCGGCTTACAATGATAAATACGGTACCTACAGAATTAATGGTCTTGGCTTGGAGAGTTAAGACAGACCAGCGTTTGCTAGACATGCACAGATATGCACCACTGTACAAGAAAACAGAATGAAATACACCAAGGCAGAGAGACCCTTGAGTGATGCCAAGCCCAAAGATATAACCTGGTGTAACACCATGGCAAATGTTTACATCACAGCTAAAGAAAGGGGGGGAAAGAGGCCAGTCTGGCACAATGGTATCTGCACCTTCCTTATTACTAGTATATTATCCACCTAATTACAGGATCCTGTTGTAATTCTACACACTCCTCTGTTCCACGGGCTATACCTGCAACACGGCTTATGTAACAGGCTTGTTTTTTAGACGCAAATCAACCTTTGAATAAGAGATTTACAATGCAAAGGGATTATAAACATTGTGACCTTTAAGAGCATGGATTGGGTGTTTCCCCCCAGAGGCAGCATGATATGGGCCACAGCGGGGATACCCTTTGGGCATACACAAGGCTTGTGTGCATTCTCTGGGGACGTCAAAAGGTATTTCCTCACCAGAAGCCTTCCTTCCCAGTACTGCGTTGCCGGAGGGATTTGGAAAAACCAAGGCATGATGTAAAACAGAGAAGGCTGATTGTGTGGGGACAGGGCAATTGCTGTGAAAAGGTGGAACAGTTGCCCAGAGATTAAACACCTCTAGAACACTAACCAGTCTGGGTCCAAGAGAACTCACTGACACCAGCTCCCTTGTGATTTTCACAAAACGCTCCACTCTACAAATGGAAGTCATGCTCTGAATTCCATTGCCATCTGAGGCCCTCCTTGGTGATGCAGACTCTTCTCGATCGTTGTGGTATTTCTCTCCCCAAGATAAGCCCTCCACACCGGCTAGGTTAATGTTTCAAATGGAGGTCGAAATCTCTCCATTTTGCAGGGCTTTACAGCTGGATGGCTAAACTTTTTAAAAATTATTTTCTGATTTATATTTGTATGTTGCACCAAAAATTATGTTTAAGCCTCTTCTACATGGTTTTAATAAGGGCCTGGCTTGGATCAAAAAACAGGCCAGGATATTTAGAATACATTCATCTTACCTTTAAGACAGATCAAAGCCATTTGTGTGAATGGTCACCCGCTGCTCAAGCAAATCCACAGTCCTTAAGGAAATTCGCTCATCAAAAGGGAGACGGTCGCCCTGACCTGGATAGCCCAGGCAAGCCCGATCTCGTCAGATCTCGGAAGCTAAGCAGGGCTGACCCTGGCAAGTATTTGGATGGGAGAACTCCAGAGGATACCAGGGTCAGGACGCAGTGTTCCCTCTAAGCTGAGTTAGTGTGAGCCAGCTCACAGTTTTTGAGCCTCCAGCTCACATATTTTTGTCTTAGCTCAGGAAGGAAGGAAGTTCCTCCCAACCAAGCAGTTCGAAAGCAAGAAATTGCAAGTAGATAAATAGGTACCACTTTGGTGGGAAGGTAACAGCATTCCATGCGCCTTGGTGTTTAGTCATCCTGGCCACATGACCATGGAAACGTCTTCGGACAACGCTGGCTCTTCGGATTTGAAACGGAGATGAGCACCGCAACCCTAGAGTTGGATTCGACTGGCTTTCGAGCTAGGGAAGGATGGCTCCAGAGCAAACTAATTGATGCAGTAGCCAAACTGCTTGCTCACAGCTTTAATGCCAGTAGCTCACAAAGTAGAATTTTTGCTCACAAGACTCCACAGCTTATAGGGAACATTGGTCAGGAGGTAGAGGCAGGCTATCAAGTCACTTCTCTGAATGTTCTCTATGCTCCAGTAGGAGTCACAAGAGTTCACTATGACTTCCAGGCACGAGTGCGTGCACGCACATGTACACATACACACAATGCAAAAAAAAAAAAAAAGGTGAGAGGATCAATTACCACATGGACATGAATCTGATGCCCCAATGCAATTTGCACATATCTGTACTTCTGTCAAGATGAGCCCAATGCCCACCACGGGGGCGTTGTGCAAAAAGTTTCCAGCGGCTAACAGCTTACACTCTCAGACAATGACAAAGAGGTCCTCTATGAGCCAACGCAACTTACCAAAGATGGCCCAGCTTCTTGTTGACTTTAAGCATTTCAGCAAAGGCCACAGCCGCTTCGTCATCCAACTCGTTCTTTGTTAGCCTGGTTTGAACAAAAAGGGTTTCATTCATAAGAATTTGTGACTGTTCTGTGGCTCAGGAAACTTGAAACGTCCTCTTTTGGGTTGCCCGATGTCTAATTTGCCAGCAATGTGCAGCTTTGGTGACTATTGTTTTATTTCAGAGGACTTTGGAGGCTGGATGGCAGGTTTTTTCCCCAAAAAACCTTGCTAGCCCAGAATGAAATCAAAACAGTCCAGCTAGATTCATATCCTTGTCTGGCCCGCTGCTCCGGAGAGTTCCCTGACTTTCAGGAATGGCTTTTGGGAAGGGTGCATGGGATTGAAATAGGAATTACGGCTCTAAAAACACCAGCGCATAGACCGCACCACATCTAGACATCTGAATGCCGATCTGTATCCCGTCCTTCCTAAATGGACTCAGAACAGTTTGCGTGGTGTTCCCCGTTGCCCATCCAGATACTTGTTGGCTATGGACCTGGCTTAGCTTTATGGACAGGACCCTTCAAACTACTATTAAGCTCTCTGTGAAATCAGCACACAGATCCCAAGTGACTATTTTCTCATGATGAACTGATCTATGTTGCCTGGAGATCAGCTGTAATCCTGGGAAATCTTCAGCCACTACCTGGAGGCTGGCTACCCTACAAAAGACCAAATGAGGGCAAAAGGCCCAATGTTAAGTACCACCAATGTTCCCTCTAAGCTGTGGAGTCTTGCGAGCAAAAATTCTCCTTTGTGAGCTACTGGCATGAAAGTTGCGAGGGAGCGATTTGGCTGCTGCATCAATGAGTGTGCTCTGGAGCCATCCTTCCTGAGCAAAGACAAAAAAATGTGTGAGCCGGAGGCTAAGAAACTGTGAGCTAGCTCACACTAACTCAGCTTAGAGGGAACACCGAGTACCACATGTTGACAGTTCTACAGATGGCCTTTCTCCAGGGCCCGTCCTCTTTGCTACGTAACACGACAATGTGCATAGAGTTACCCAGCTGTTGCACTCATGCACTTTTAAGGGCAATGCAACCTGGAACAGATGCATTCCGGCAGTGCTTGTTTGGTCCAGTTCTTTATTGTTCACAACATAACACTGTGGTCACTGCTTCCAAGAGTTCTGCATCAGCTTCTGGGCACCACTCGGGATTCAATCAAGTGTCACCTCCCCTCTTATCAGCCTCCTAATTGTTCTACAGAATAATCATCAATTTTGTCATGACCGGTAATGCATTCATTAGTTTGGAATATTAAGCCTTTCATCACTTTGGCTTGAGTAAGAGTTTTGTTTTCCTGCTTTAAAGCTGACACTGAAGGTAGATGTGTCCAGTGTTCCCTCTAAGCTGAGTTAGTGTGAGCCAGCTCACAGTTTTTTAGCCTCCGGCTTCACACCTTTTTGTCTCAGCTCAGGAAGGAGGGCTCGAGAGCAAACTAATTTCTGCAGCAGCCAAATCGCTCGCTCACAACTTGAATGCCAGGAGCTCACCAAGTAGAATTTTTTGCTCACTCCGCAGCTAAGAGGGAACATTGGATGTGTCTAGGGCAGATTCTTCACAATAGGGAGGGGGCGTCTGATGACAACACAGCAAAGACTGCAGAAATTGGATGGCTACTTCTGGAAACGCACCCAGGAAATTCCACTGATCTTTGTTTTATATGTTAACCTGGATTCTGCATTGCTTAGGCTGGGACTGCTCCGCTACTTTTGTGCAACTGCAAGGGAACACCAAAGCCTCTGATGGCACAAAAGAGTAATGATTTCCCCCAAGCAGTTTATACTACCTGCTTGTATCTGGATGTGAGGAACTGCTTTTGCTTGCCTCCAATCCTCTGAAGGATTAATAAAAAAGAAGTCTTTCTTCTTGGAAAGCCCCTAAGCTACATTTCTTCCTTGCACATGTACTTGTCTTGACAAGACTAGGTAGGTAGAAATAGATTCCTTCTCAGCCGCCAGGCTCAACTGCTATTCTGTGATAGGGCAGGGCCTCTGTTTCTTCCTGAAGAGAGGAAACAATGCTGATTCTTGATTTCAGGTTCATCCAGACAGGACTTATTTCAGGGACTGAGAGGACTAGGTTGAGACCTTCCAGTCCCTCAGTACAGAAATATGGGATCCCTCCCCTCTTGGCTGACTTGCACCAGCATGGACCCTCTCAAGACTGACTTGCGCTTTCAGACAAAGGGAAAGTCATCAAAATCAAGGAGGGGGGGGATACAGAATTTCCCTAAGGACTCTTTGCTTTTTCCTGAAAGCTACAGTGCTAAATCAGAAACATGGGAATCCCCCCTCAGGACGAAGTACCTTAAAGCTAACATCTGAATATATTTCCTGTCACAACTGAGAAGACAGATGAAGTATCAGTCACTTTTGCTCCTCTTAATTGGGAAGCCTGCTCCCCCTCCCTTCTCTCTGCTGCCTGAAAAGGTGTGAGAACAAATTTTAATTCAGGACAAGATAGGAATGAATAAAGTGATGTTTCTAGGAATCCGCCAGCTGGTTTCCTTCCCAGCTTTCTCCTATCCCTCATCTTCTTGGTTTTCTGGGAAGCATTAACAGGCTCAATGTTCATTTTCCCCTCACCTCATGGACTCTTCTGTCTCCCTCACAGAACAGCAAAACTAAACAAGGCTGTACTTTCTAATCTAAGCCTATCCCACTAATGCCCCAAACTCCTTCCAAATTTGGAATACCTTAAAACCTGGAAAGCCCTGTCAGCCATACTAATTCCCTCCCATCCACTGACTACAGGCTCAACACAGCAGCCCAGAACCCCCTCCTCCCAGTAAATCTGCCTGCTCCCCATCAGCATACTCAAAGCATATGTGGAAATTTGTTCCTCACCAAAATATATTCACGGTGTTGTTGTGCTTCATTGCTTCTGCAAGACATTTGCCCCCTTCTGTAGTGATACCATTGAATGCAAGACTGTGAGGAAAAAGACAAAGGGAATGTTTGACAAACACATCAGCAACAAATAAGTATTTCCCCTCCTTTACAACCAGTAACAGCCAAAGCTCTCTTGGAAATGATACAACTGTTTATTCACGCCAAGGTATCCCAAGTATGGCAAACTGGATCTGTCAGGCAGATTTAGCCCTCAATACTGCAGATCAGTCAAATTTAACTTTGACACCTCTTTAGAAGTTATGTGGGATGGGGAAGGGGGGGACTAGAGCTTCTGACAGCCTGGGTTCAAATCCCCTCATGGTTATGATGTTTACAAGATGATCTTGGTGACTGTGTCCTAGCTTAACCAACCTCAAAGGGTCTGAGGGTAAAATGGACAAAGAAGAACCATGTGTTCTGCCCAAATTTCCTTGAACGAAGGATGAGGAAAAATAGATCAGTAGGTATGCCAAGGACTATTAGCCATGATGCCTAGGCGGAGCCCCCATGTTCAGTGACAATCTACCTCTGAATATTAGATGCTTGTAGGCAATAGTAGGGGAGGCTTTGGCTTCCATGCCCTGTTTGCAGACCTTCCAGGGGCAGATGGTTGGCCACCTTGGGAAACGGGGATTATAGGTCTGACACAGCAGGGTGTTTTTTTTCTTTTTTCATTCCAAAGTTGGGACCCTACAGGTCACCTTGTTTTTAAGGTGCAGCTATATCACAGAAAGGTATCTGCAGAATACAGATCCAATACAAATACAGTGAAAGAACCCAACTACCTTTGGAACTGGTATAGCTAAGAGTGTGGGCTATAAATATTTTAAATGAAACAAAAATATTAATGGAAAACAGGCTGAGTTCATCTAAATCAGACTGTCTAGCTGCTCTGGAGAGGAAAACGAGGAAGTTCCCCCAGTTTCCAAAGCTACATCAGTTGCGGAACTGACTCCTTATCCAAACAGCAGTCAACTGTGAAGACAAGAAGGGGCAAAAAACCAGAAAACCAGTTTATAATACCAAAGCTTATGAACTGTAAAAGTGGACTCTGGTTTAAACAATAAACTATATAAAATATAGTTGCACGCCAAAAAGTTGAAATAGACCAGGAGACCCCATCTGGAGCTAAGGTCGATATACGTAGAGCCCTGTATGGTAGAAAAATTTTAAAAATTTTAAATGTTATGAACCTTTCCCCCTTATCCTCAATGATCAGGAGATCAAGTTTTTGGTCTAGCGTATTACAGATCCTGTAACAAATAAAGGTGATATTGATTTGTGACCATAAATGATGTACAATACAAACAAACAAATAACAACATCGAACTATAAACCCGAATCCCACCCCCACCCCCCCTCCAAAAAAGAAAAGAAAAACAACTCGTAAACCCAACTCCAACCTCACACTGAGGTTACCGTCTGGTAACATAGAATTAACTATGCGAGAGACCATATTTGGAAACGCCTCTCTATTCCAGACAAACAATGAAACAAAGAAAAAAGAAAATAAAGGAAACTCTTCCCCCCCCCAACTCTCAAATTGGTTTTCAGAATGACAAAAAATCTATATATATATTGCAAATACAATCTACTACTAAGTAAGTCAAATAAAGCATCCCATCGCATTGAGGCTACCGGTTATACAAAAGGTGAAATGAGGCAGAGTTAAAATGGAAACATTTGGTCCTTGCATCAGTCATTTTTTAGGAACGACTCTTTTCCAACGTTTTTGATTTTCAAGAAATACATCTGATGCCTCTGGGTTTGCACGCAACTCCGCCGGGATCTCAATGCCCATTTTCTGCAACAGAACTGTGCCAGTAAAAAGGTCTGTAGCAGAGAAGATTGTATCTCCCTTTCTGACCGTCAACCTACTAGGAGGTGACCAGCGATACAGGATCTTAGCGTCTTGCAGACATTTTGTGATAGCTTTCATGTCTCTGCGCCTCTGCAAGGTCTCTGGAGAGAGGTCTTGGAAAATTAATATTTTTTTATCTTTATACACAAATAGTTCACTGTTATTAGCTTCTTTTAAGATTTTGTTACGAGTACGATAATCCGGAAAGCATGCAACTATGTCTCTTGTAAAAGCAGGGTTACTGCGTTTGCGAGCCCCCACTCTGTATGCTCGGTCTATGAGCGGCGCAACATCTTTCTCCAGTTTTAAAATGGAGGCTATCCAAGAAGCCAAGAATATTGGGAGGTCTGTTGCTCCTTCGCAGGACTCCGGAAAACCGCGAAATTTTAGGTTGTGAAAACGGGCAGCATTGTCCAACTCCATTATCTTAGACCTAGCCCATGTTTCGCTAGTTTGCAGGTCCTGCACTTCAGTCTGCAGAGTAATACCCTGCTCCAACGCCATTTCGGCAGTCTGAGCAATGGCTTGAACATGCTCATTTAAATCCTGCAATTGTGCCGACATAGGTTTAAGAAGGTTTTCCATGCGAGATGCAAAGCGATCTTCTAAGTTATCTAAAAGAGCAAGTACCTCTGGTGTCAGCTGAGATGATTCGTCTTCGGTATCCGACTCTTCTGCCGCCGCCATTTTCTCCGTAAGCCGAGCACCCGCGGCCCGTGTAATATCCTTTGCCGTTCTCGGAAAGTAAGCTTTCACTGAAGCTGTAGAAAGACCTTGGGTTTTAGCTCGACTTGCGGTTGACTTTCCCATCTTCTAGCACCGCGTTTGTGGTCAAAATAATGCCTCTGCTATTAATTTTAAGAGAGTTGGGGAAGGAGCCGAGGTTTCAGGCGTCCATCCACCACGCGTGCGACGCCACGCCCCCAATCGCCCCCTGAACTGTTTTCAATGTAGAAATGCAAAAGTGCATGCCAAGAAATAATGCTCCAGCAAAAGGCTGGGCTGTTCAGAACAAATAACTGGACGTAACCACTTCCCATCGCATAAACTGGCCTCACCCAAAGCCTGCAGCAATCCACAGGAGTCTTTTTGATTAATTTCTAAGCACTTGGAGTTGGGCTCCGGGCAACTGGTGTGCCGGCTTCTTCCTGAACCTGCAATGAATGACCTGTTCCATTGCTCAGCTGCTTAAGAACAGATGATTTTATAGCTTTTAGCAAAAGCCACAGCCTTGCTTTAAAGGCTTATCTTAATTATCTGTAACTTAAGCTGGATCTCAAATGATATGACGGCTTGTGGCAGCAGTATCATGTTGTATAGCCACAAGGTGCAGAACCGCTCAATGGGCAAAATTATCCAGGGTCTTCCTGTAAATGCCGTTAACTAGTTGCCAGATGCTAGGTTAAAGATCTGATGTAATTACCGCAATACTGGTGATTTACAAATTAGCCCAACCTAGATTTTTTTTTTCTAATTCCAGATGAGCTGCTAAAACAGCATGGCTTATGATCCAGAGCCCTGCACCTGAACCAGGTTGCTCAGCGCTATCTCTGCTATTCGATGTCCTCCTGCAAGCGCACAGAGCTCTTTTCACTGCTGTGAGGCTGGATCACGGCCATTATACGGAGAGATGCTGAGCATTCACAGTTCCCACTGATAATAGCTGGCGCCCAGTGAGTCATACGCTAAACATTCAATCTGTTCTAATAAAATCCATTACTAAACTTCCAATATAATTTGTTTTATTGCTGCACTGAACCCCCTTAGAACCTTGCAGAAAACCCATGGTGCATTTTAGTGGCTATTTTTATTTGTACAGGGAAATAAATTAGAAAACTAGCAATGGAGCAAATGCAAAGAAGATGGGAAATGTTCGAAATATACGAGCATTTGTATTACTGAGAAATCTTCCCTGAGCCTGTCTTCCTTTGAGCCAAGCACGCTTGTCTTGTATCTGAGTGAATCTCCAGGAGAGGAGAACCAAACCCAGTAATTAGTTCAGGAGACCTTCCAAGCAAAATCTAAACTGATTAGATTAAGATTTTGAAAGTTAAGATTGGGGAAAGGTTTATAATGAGACAAAATGTTCATTCGAGCTGAGATCCAAGGGGCTAGGAGCTTTAGCATTGTGTTTCTTGAACAGCAAAGGCCCACGCTGCATGGGGAATAGTTTTTGAAAATGAGAACTTTAAAAGCCACTCGTGCGAGTAAAAGAAAAAGTTCAAAATTGCACTTGGACGTGTTCCAGCCCTTAGGGTGTACCTCAAGAAGCTTACTGCATCGGCGCTCTCCCCAAGCCCTGTTCACAAGTTAGAATCAGTGCACCTACAAACTGTGTACGACGTACATCTGATTTTTCTTCATACGTGCGTTGAGGAATTCTCATGTTACATTTCCAGTGGAAGCCAGGAACGTTACCTATCTATTTAACTAAAACATTTATATTCTGTGCTCTCAGTTAAAACGGCTCCCAAGGCAGCTTCCAGTTTCCAAAATAAAAACACCACCACACGTTAACAAACAACAGGCAATTATAACAAACCACCTTAAAACATGAACACACTAAAATAATAAACAGTGGTATTTTTGAAAAGCTTGAGATCCACTACAAGCGATACTCAGAGTTGCCAATTCTGGTTTGGGAAATTCCTGGATATTTGGGGGTGGAGGCTGGAGAGGGCAGGGAAGGACCTCCACGGGGTATAAGGCCATAGAGTCCTCCCTCCAACGCAGCCTTTTTCTCCAGGGGACCTGATCGCTGTATTCTGGGGATCCGTTGTAATTCTGAGAGATCACCAGGTCCCACCTGGAGATTGGCAACTACACACCAGAGCAAGGGCATTTTCAGTGGTTGCCCCCTCTTTCTGGAACCAGCTCCCTGGGGAGGGTTCATGTCCTGCAGGATCTCCCAGCATTCCATAGGGCATGTAAGGCGACTTTGAACCAGGAAGCTGGCCAGTTGTTTCAATCCCTTGTTTTGGGTAGCCTTTGGTCAGTGTTATGAATTGGGAGAAGACCAGTTGTTTTAATTCTTCAGAACAGTTTGTTGTTGGACTTCCGGTCTGTGGCTTCAGCAATGGCGGAGGCTCTCTCCTGAACAGGGGAGGCATTCTGCGCTCCAGGGGTGTTGGAGGGGTGCCACCTCAAGTGGCACCCCCAGGTGAGTCTCAGTAAGGAG